TATAATATAATATAATATAATACAGTATAATATAATCAAGACAATCTCAACCAGGTGTGGCTATAATCCTACCACTTGGGAGACTAAGGCAAAAGGATTGTGAGTTGGAGACCAACCTGTGCTACAAAGTGAGCTCAAGGCCAGCCTGAACTACATAACAAGACCCTGTCTCAAAAAGACAAAACAAAACAAAACAAAAAATGTCACTTGATGTCAAGAAAGATTCCTTCCTCCATTTATAACCACAGTATCATCCATTTGGCTAGCGCAATCTTTGTGCTTTCTAGGACATTACTTTTTTTTTTTAACATTTTATTTATTTTTATTTATTTATTTATTTATTTGTATTTAGGACAAGGTATACAGGGTCTCACTGCATAGATCAGGCTCATAGTGATCATCCTGTCTACAGCCTCCCAAGTGCTGGGATTACAAGTATGTACCACCATGCCCAGTCTCAGTTGCGTCTCAGCCTGCCCCAGGAGCAGGGCTGGCACAGCAGGCCAGGGGATCGAACTCCCAGCCCCTGTGTCTGCCTAAGTAGGACATTACTTTTGAAAAAAAGTATCGAAATTGACTACAACATTTCTGAATTGCATCTAATTTTGTGAGTACTCAAAGAAAAGGTGTATTTGGTATCTTAACAGAGGGATCGTGACCTGGAGTTAGCTGCTCGAATTGGACAAGCTCTCTTAAAGCGGAATCATGTCTTATCTGAGCAGAATGAAGCCCTGGAGGAGCAGTTGGGGCAGGCCTTTGATCAAGTAAGCCTTGGATGTGGTATTTGCACCATGAGATGCTTCGGTCTCATGCAGTGGAAAAATGTATTTTCTATATAAGCATCTCTGAAATGATGACTTATTTGTTGAATTGTTAGCAGACATTGAGCTAAACTGTAGATAGAGAGTGAAATGCTCTTATGCAGAAGAACACATAGGTGACCGCCTCACTTAGTTCAAAGCCTTTGGGTATCATGGTGCCTGTGGTACTACTCGGGTTGGTTAGGTTTCTGGACTGTTTCCATCCCTTTGTATGTACACTTTGTGATCTCATTTTAAATTTTTGAAAAAAGTAAGTACCTACAAAAATAGAGAAAAAAAAACTAAAAAGGAAAAATAATACTCAAATGTAGGTATCTTTACTCTGAAACAGAAATAAAAGGTAGAAAAGAAAAAGTCATCTTTGAAAATCTTTTATTCCATATCATTAACTGTGCATACTAAAGTTAATTTATTATCAACTTGAATGGTAACATATATTTCAAGCTTTCTGACTTTTTTTTAATCTGGCTCCAATTATGTTTTGTAAATACATTATGGATGATAGACCTTTATATTGAAAATATCTGTTCCCTTGGTTTAAAAGCAGTACACCTAAGAAGATGTGCACAGTTATATACAATTTATAGATGTAAGCTGTGAGAATGAGAATTTGAAGTAGGTCTATTCTGATACTTTGAAAGTTTTCCAGTTTTGTTTTGTTTTCAGTTGTGATTGTATCCTTATTATCTTCAATACAAATTTCTTCCTATATTCCTATTTATTATATAGTACAGATTCTATAGGAAAAGTTGTCTAGTCATTCAGGTCTAGCAGCTGATTTTGTGATTTTTTTTCATGATGAAAAATTGCTGTTTTGTAAATTACAAGCTATATTATATGTAATTAATGTACAACAAAGAAAATATTTTAATCAGTCATTTCTTATGTGCAGGTTAATCAGCTGCAGCATGAGCTGTCCAAGAAAGATGAGTTACTTCGCATCGTCTCCATTGCTTCTGAAGAGAGTGAGACTGATTCCAGCTGTTCCACACCTCTTCGGTTCAATGAATCCTTTAGTTTATCTCAGGGTTTATTGCAGTTGGATATGCTTAAAGAAAAGCTCAAGGAACTGGAAGAAGAAAATATGGCCCTTCGGTCTAAAGTACATTCAATTCTACTCTCATTTTCCTTATAAAGGCTGTAGGCCTCAGGTCGGGGTAGTGTTGAGATTTCTTTACTTTAGAACTACAAAACTGCTCCAGAGGGTATCGATGTGAAATTTGATCACATTCCAGTTAGGTGGTGACAGATAAGGAACTTTGTATCTTCCACTGTTACATAGAATAGAGCAAGGGAGATGCCTGCCACATCCATTTCCATGCCTTTATTTTGTGATAGATAAAGCTTGAGAAATGGCTCGAGTCTGTTTTTTTTTTTTTTTAATAAATGATAAACTAATCTTCAAATGTCAAAGTTTTTATAGTTTTTACTGTAAAAGCGTTAGAAGATATTGTCACATACTGACTTCTTTTTCTTGAAGGCTTGTCATATCAAAACAGAAACTTTTACATATGAAGAGAAGGAACAGCAGCTTGTCAATGACTGTGTTAAAGAACTCCGTAAGTAGGAACACACTTTTGTAGCCTTTGGATGACTCTAGAAATTAAATCAGTGGTTACAATAGAAGCATCTCATTATGCAATTTAAAATGGTTAATCTTTTTCTGGTTTGTTTTGCTGTAACAAGTACTGGAGGTTTCTTCTTGGGTGACTTACAAAGAGAGTTACTTGGCTTAGCATTCTGGGGGCTGAAGGGTTCCCATGACATGCACCTGTCTGAGCACAGGCCCCTGGCTGGATTGTAGCCTGGTGGAGAAACAGAAGGGGGCACACACAGGAGCCAGGCATGTGGAGGGGGCCGGTTTTGCATCGTACACCTGCTCTCAGGAGGAATGACACATTTAGAGAGGCCTGTATTCAGGCCTTCCAGAGGCTGTGCACATGACCCAGGGCCCTCCAGCTCTCCACACGGGGCTGCACTGTCTTCCTAAGGACTGTGAGGGACAACTGCATCCAAACACAGCAGATGCTGAACATCTCAGACTGTTACACAGAGCCCATACTCAATAAGATAACATATATATTTTTAAGAAATATAATTTGTATAGCCAAACCACCCCTGAGGGCATTCGGAGCAAAAAAAAAAAAAAAAGTAATTTGTAATTGTCATCATCATTACATAAAGACCTATATTTCCATAAATAAGCTATAACATGTCAAAAAGGAAGCAAAGCTCACATTTGGTTGCTGAGGTTGTTTCCATTGAAGATAGGACTTGCCAAAGTCAGAAACTGACCAGTGGCAGAGCCAGGTTTAAAAGGTTGCATAAAACCTAACATTCAATGACTGTTTACCAAGGGCCAACATAGTACATAAAGGATTCTAATTTGAGGCAATGTTAAGTAATTTGGGGAAAAGGATACTGGGGTTCAAACTCAGGACCTTGCACTTGCCAGGCAGATGCTTGCACCACTGAGCTATATCCCCAGCCCTAAAGTAATTTTTCATTGGGTATGGTGGCACATACCTGTAATTTCAGCACTCAGAAGGCTAAGACAGGAGAATTGCCATGAGTTCAAGGCCAGCCTGGGCTACATAGTCAGCTCTGTCTCAAAACAAAAAACAGCTACGAATATTTTAAAAATCATGAAAAACCATTGGCTTTAGTTTCCGTCTTCACAGTGTTTTTGTTTTGTGTTTTGAGACAGTGTCTCTCTATGTAGCTCAGGCTGGCTTCACACTCTTGGCAATCCTCCTGCTTCAGCTTCGTGAGTGCTAAAATTACAAGGATGCCCCACCACACCTGGCTACAAATATAGTCTTTTTGTTAAAAGAGATAATATGATCATGTCAGTCCAGTTTAGTTGTGGGCCTCAAGATGAGATACCTTAAAGTAAAACTGTTAGAACACTAGGAGTATAATTGAATCTTTACCTTTCCGAAAAAATAAAATCCCAAACGCCTGCCTCCTTATTGCCATCCTTTGAAATCAGGAAGCTTTACGTCAATTAAAATGTGATTTTATGTAACAGTGGAGAAAATTTTTCTGTTTGTGTTTAGGTATCAGACTTCCTATATACAGTCAAATTTGTTAGTTCTACACTGGGATTCTGTGGGTCCTATTTCATTGCATACAAAAAGCCAAAGCCATAAGAGTTACTGTTGAGGCCTGCTCAGTTCTCTGAGTACCCCCAGAGTCTCTGCTGTAGATGGAGCGCAGTAGCTTCATCTCTCAGTAGCTGTCATCAGTTGTAACCAGTGCATTCTGGAAATGTCCCTTTGTTAGATTCATTATGATTAATTTTCACTGTTCAAGATTTTATGTCCTGGAGAATTCTTTAAGACATAAGTAAAATTAACTCTTTTGTACTTACAAAATATTTAGTTCAGGCCTAGGGAGATAGCTCTGTGGCGTAAGCGCCAGCCTGGCAAGTGCAAAGTCCCAAGTTTGACCCCCTGGCGCCTCAATCATGCCAGCCCTGAAGCTGAGCATGGTGGTGCACACCTGTAACCCCAGAGCTGGGGAAGCTGAGACAGGAGGTTCACTATGAGTCTGAATTATGTAGTGAGACCATGAATTAAAAAAAAAAAAAAAGTACTTCACTTTGCTGTCCTTTCAGCCTTCTTATTCTCCATAATGAGAAAGATCGTAACAAATATCTTTTTCATAAAGAACAAAATCAACCAGAGGGGCCTGGGAGATGGCTCAGTATAATAAGCGCTTGCCTGGCAAGCACAAGAGCCTGAGTTCAATCCCTGGTTCCACCAAAAAAAAAAAAAAAAAAATCACCCAGAACCTTTAACCTTGTTGTTACATGTCATCTTTCCTACTCAATTCCCAGAATTAGTGTATCTCAGAAAAATCTTTATTTTTCTAATTTATTAGGATTTTTTTTTTTGTTGTTGTTGTTGTTGTTGCTTGAATGCCTTCAGGGCACTTTTGGCCAGCGGGAGAGGTGTGAGGTTTGAACTCCGGCAACCTGAGGCTGACAGCTTTGTAGAAGCAGCCACTTAAAGGCCTGAGCTAGGGCCAGGCCCCCTTTCTAATTTATTTTGAAGAAAAATAATGCTTGTTATAAATAAGAATTTGGTCTATAGGCAGTCATTTGCCAATATCTGACCTACATTTATCTTAATTTAAAAAAAATTTTTTCCAAGGTGAAACAAATGCTCAAATGTCCAGAATGACTGAAGAATTGTCAGGGAAGAGTGATGAACTGATTCGATACCAAGAAGAGATCTCCTCTCTCTTATCTCAGATCGTAGATCTTCAGCACAAACTGAAAGAAGTAAGATTTTTCATTTGTTCAACTGACATTTGTTAAGCACTAACCTACTATTATGTACTATGCTTAGTGCTGGGTACCTTGGATAAAATAAACAGGGCCCCTGCCCTTTTAAAATGCCTTAGTCTGGGGCTGGTGAGATGGCTCAGTGGTCTAAAGCACCTACTTAGAACAAGCTAAGCAAAGCACAGGGACCGCGGTTCAATCCCCCAGCACCACATGCCAGCCAGCCCCGCCCCCTGGTGGGCTGAGCTGGCCACACACACACACACACACACACACACACACACACATAAATTTTTTTAAAAAATGCCTTAGTCTGACTGCTGTATTAGTCTTATTTGCTAAAGTGTGGTGAATAACTACTTTCAAGCCACTGTTTCTATGAATGGAGTTAAATTTTCCTTGGAAAGTTGTATATTACTAACTCATGTTCACTGTCTTTTGAACACTTTTTGTATTTTGTGGTCTGCTCATTTTGTTGTCCTTAATTGGCTTTTGAAAGATAAGGACTTAAAACTGTACCCAAGAAAGAAACTCATAAGATAGCTTTAAAAGGGAGAGTAGAGAGCTGGAGATATAGCTCAGGGACAGAGCCTGCCTGGCAAGCGCCGTGTCCTAAGTTCCATTCCCAGTACCTAAAAAAGGGGAGTAGCTACATTTTATATGGGAAAGAAGGCCTCACATGTCTCCTTTCATGTTGTTAGCATGTAATTGAGAAGGAGGAGCTAAGACTTCACCTGCAAGCTTCTAAAGATGCCCAGAGACAGCTGACAATGGAGGTAAAAACTGTTCATTTTGTGTGATTCAGGCATGTAGGAATAAGGAGCTTCCTTTTTCTTTGTGAATAAAAATTATTAAAGGGGAATTACTAGATATAAAAGCAGCAACAAGGGCTGGCCAGAGAGCTCAGTGGACTAAAGCACCTGCTTAGGCAGGTGCAGGGACCACCCCTGCGTGCTGTGCCAGCCCTGCCTCCGGGCTCACTGAGACCAGTGATTGAGACTGGGCATGGTAGCACATGCCTATAATCCCAGTGCTTGGGAGGCTGAAAACAGGAAGATCACTACGAGGCCAATCTGTGTAGTGAGACCCTGTAGACCCTGTACTAAATACATTTTTAAAAAAGAAAAAAAAGCAACAAGAGATTAAAGTGAAATTATAAGATCTAAGAAGGAAATCCTTTTTAAAGTCCTATTTTTAAAACTAATATCAACCTAATTGATTAATTGGGCGAAACTGATTTTTGTAAGATTCTTCAGGAGTATAGAATGCTTTTTTGTCAGCCCACTTTAACTAGCCTGATCATTAAAATAGGGCGATTTCTAATGGGTTTTGTAGAAAAATAACAAAAATCTCTTAGCCTCTATGTACCTATGTTTATATTTGATATAATTTCATAGCAGTGTAGCATTGCAGTCACCGGCGAGAGCAAGTGTCTTTTTTTGTTTGTTTGTTTTTATGAGCAGAATATATTTACTGGGAGAAAGAAAGCTCCTGTCCTACAGAGGGATAGGAGGGGGGCCCAAATGGGTAGTCCCTCAAGAGCAAGTTTTAAGTGGAAATTTCCAAGCACCCCCACCACTCCCACCACCAAGAACTTCTAATTTATTGCATCTAGAGTGAAAACTAAAATGTACTTGGGCATGGGGGTAATTGAGGCAGGGTCTCCCTCTGTAGTTCAGGCTGTCCTTGAACTTACTGTGCAATCCAAACTGGCCTCAAATTTGTGAAAATCCTCTGCCTCTGCCTCCTGAGTGCTGGGATTATGGGTACGTGCTACCATGCCTGAATTAAAGTCTATATATTTTTACAAGCAGGCACAGGGGCTGGGGATTCAACCCCAGGCCTGTGGTGCTGGCCCCACCCCCGAGGCCCACTGAGACAGCGATTGAGACTGGGTATGGTGGCGCACACCTGTAATCTCAGCTTTTGGGAAGCTGTAAGCAGGAGAATCACTACACGTCCAATCTAGTAGTGAGACCCTGAACACCCTGTAGACCCTTCCCTAAAAATACAGGAAAAAAATAAAGTATATATTTTTAATAGCCAGATGTGGTGGTACATACCTATAATCCCATAACTCGGAAGGCTGAAGCAGGAGGATCACTGAGAGTTCAAGGCCAGCCTGGTGCCTGGACTACATAGTGAGTCCAGTTCACCATCCTGAACTTCATAGAAAATAAAACTCCATAACCCTGGTGATTCCAGTGAGCCTGTACCCATGTTATACTTGACATTTTTTTACTTAAAAATTATATACTCATTTATCAGGCTTGTGTACTGATCTGTGAAAGAAGGCTCTGAATCCCACGGTTCATGAATCTCAAAAGGAAGAAATCTCCTTCCTTAGGATGGTTCAGTACCCTGACATCAAATGAAGACTTGGCTGTGTCATTTATAGACTTCAGAGGATGTTAAGGAAAGATTAATACAATGCTAGAATCAACCTGACCATAGCTATAACAATACCTATATAAATTTTTAGGGTATGAAACATTAAATATTGAATTGACAGTTCTGGTTGTCTTGGCTGTGTTTCAGGTTTTGAGGAGTCCTGTTTTTGTGTGTTTATGGTCAAGCCACTGCTAGACTTGGCACTTTTAAATAATACATTCTTTTAGCATAGTTAGCTTCAGAGTCTTCCTATTTAAATGATATTCACAATGTCCACCAGCCCCTCGATGAGCTAATAATTATTCCCAGAGAAGTGTGTTTCTCTTGTTCTTTGAGAGTGATAAAGTATACCACCATCCTTTCTTTCAGCTGCATGAGTTACAAGACAGGAACATGGAATGTCTGGGGATGTTGCACGAATCCCAAGAAGAAATAAAAGAGCTTCGTAGTAGATCTGGCCCTGCTGCTCCTCTGTACTTCTCGCAGTCCTATGGGCTTTTTACTGGGGTGAGGAACTGGGGAAGATACCGTGTGTTTATAGAAGATTGTTATTTATTTATTTATTTTTGTGGAACTGGGGATTGAACTCAGGTCCTTGCACTTGCCAGGCAAGTGCTTATTCTACTGAGCTATCTCCCCAGTCCCCTGAAGCTTGTTAAAATAAGATTGCCCTGAGAGTGATATGGTCTATCATGCCATAAAGTGCCTCAAGAAGACAGAACATTTGTCTTTCATTTATGTGTGCATCTTCCTTGTGTTCTTATTATTCTAACAGATTACCTTCTAAATGTGTTGTAACGAGAGGTACCATCAGGAAGTTAGATCTAAATCTGTAACGTAGAGCTCCTTAACCCTAAGAGAGTTCAACACTTATGGCTCCCATCTGCCATTTGTTTAAACATTACTCCAATGCATGTAGCCTGTTTTAATAAATCATGAGTTTTGTGATATGTTGAACTCCAGTTAGAGTATAAGCCCTCTGAGAATAGGAATTATGTTCAATTTCATTAAGGATGGTATTTTTTTGAGTGATAAAAGACTTCTGTGTTTATGCTAGAAATTGTAATGTTGGCTCAAAGAGTTATTTTTTACAACCTATTTCTTAAACATTTATATACAATCTTGTGAAATATTTTAGAAGTCCAGAAGTATGAATTTTATAATTATTTATTTAGTTATTTTGGTACCAAGAATCAAACTCAAGACCTTGGGCTTGCCAGGTAGGTGCTTATGCTGCTGAGCTATATTTTCTTAAGAATAGGGAGACAGCAGTTTTGTTTTCTAGTTTTTTATTTTTAAATAATTTTAAACTTAGACTAATTTTTACAGTAATACAAAGAACTCTCATATATCATTCATCTAGGTATCTAAGTTTAATGTGTTTACTAAAAACAAGCGCAATCTGGTGAATACTCCTGCATGATCACAGTACAGCTATCACCATTAGAAAGTGGACTCAGTAAATACTTTCATCTAATCCTCACACTTACGGGGGGCTGATCTGGCCCCAAATCATCTAGGGAGGATACAATGAAGGATAAAAGAGACAGAAATGATGATTGAGAATGCTAGAGGGTCCAGAGGGTCAGAGCTCTTTTGAGGCTAAGACCAAGACTCTGAACTTGCCATTTTTATTGACCATACAGCTTCCCAGAGGGCATGTAGGGAGATCCAGGGAACAGCAAAATGAAGAGCTCTGATGTGAGCAAGGTCTAGTAAGAAACAAAATGGTCTCATATGAATCTGTCATTGATTAATGGGAACTGTGTTTCCCTTGGGTTCGTGTTTCTGTAGAATTTTATGTGGTAGTCAGAGCCACCTCAACTGAAACGTTATGTTGCTTTCTAAGACATCACAGCATCATGGGGCATTGAGAGCTCTGCTGCAGCCAGTGGCATGGGGAGTTCTGTTTCCCGGTGCTAACTGCTGGCTCGCCAAGCGAGGCACGTAGGCCTAGAACTGACTCTGGGTTTGCACATCACTCAGGTTGCACATAAACATCCCATTCAGCTTTTCCTAGTAGTATCCCTTAAAGAATACATTTCATTTAGTTGTTTTCAACCCTGAGGCATTTCTTTTATCTATTTTTCAATGACCTTTATAGAATTCCTCCATTTAGACTTGTCTGATTAAGTTTAAATATTGTACTCCTGGCAGAAATTACACCATATTATATTCAATGCCTCTTATCAGTAAGCATATAATGTCAGTTTATCTCATCACTAGTGATGTTAAGTAACTTTTATCTTCTGGTTAAGGTAGTTACCTGCTGATTTTCTTCTCTGTAAAGTTAATAATAAATAATTGTTAACCAAATTACTAATTCAGTGAACAGTGATAAAAATGTGTAGCTGCTGCTTAACCAAATGGTCAAAGTTAAATGTTTCATAGAGAGATAGTTTGAAACTAAATATTCTGTTCCCCATCAAATTTTTGTCCATTAAGTTTAGCTGCCATTGATGGTTCTAACCTGTTATTACTGTGACCATTGCCAAATGGCAATTTTATGATTCCATGATTTTCCAGCATTTATTAATGGCATTCTTTCATAATATCTCTTCTGTCATTTATTCATTGTTCATTGATTTATACCAGTGTGACTCATGGGTTTCTATATCATCAGTGGATTTTCAGCCATTATTATTACTTGGTACTCAGATTGTCCCAGATGTAGCCAGTGGAATATCTTCTAAGCTCATCTGTACTGTTTGTTCCAGCTCTGGAATTAGCCATTTATATCCTAGGAGCTCTAGTATTCCTTTTTGAGGAACAGTGTGTGTTCTGAATCCAAGACCTGGTGGTAGACGTGGGTACATATTGCTACTAGAGTACTATGTCTTCCCTCTTAGGGGACAGAGCTAGGAAATGCATATGTGTATTTCATATATGCAGCCACACAGTGCACATGTCTGTCTTCCCACCCATGTCTTAAAAGTCATGAGCTGATACCTGTGTGTCAAACCCAGTCATCCTCAGTTCAAACCCACTGTGCATTTCACACACCCGCTGAGTCCTTATCTTTGACTAGAAGTGCAAACTTGTATGTTTTTAATCTGATTTTTTAATGTCATAAAAACTATGCATGTTTACTAGAGATAAGTTAGAAATTGCAGAAAAACAAGAAATTGTTGTCCCGAATCACAATTAGCACTCAGTTTATGACCTTCCTGACTTTTTGTACATCTGTACATAAGGTATTTTTTATTTATCCTTGGTTTCTCCATTACATTCTTTTAACAATATTTCCTAAAGGCCAGGGAGATAGCTCAGGGGCACAGTGCCTGCCTGGAAAGGGCAAGGTCCTGAGTTCAATAGTTGCCGCTAAAAAAAAAAAAAAATCATGAAAAAATAGTTGATTCTTGCTTAAAAGTTCATTTCCACAGTGTCTCTTTTTTTTCTTCCCTGAATTTTAGCTGATTACTCTGTGTGTGTGTGTGTGTGTGTGTGTGTGTGTGTGTGTGTGTTATAACATCGAAAAGAAAGGCTTGTAGAGATTCTTATTTAATCAATTTAAGAGCAATAATCACTTTAGGAATCTGAAACTTTCTTCTTAGGAATCTTTGGCAGCTGAGATTGAGGGAACAATGCGTAAAAAGTTGATTTTGGATGAGGAATCATCTCTTTTTAAACAAAAGTAAGTATAAGTCACATAGTTGTTGTCACTGGATGAAAACTAAAAAGAAGCCACAGGCCTGAAGATACATGTAGCTCAGTGGTAAAGCACTTTCTTTGACTGTTCAAGGCCCAAGGTTGAACCTGTAAAAGCCACAGTCCAAGAAAAATTCAGTAGTCAGTTTGCTTGCCATTCAGTTTTTCCTTCACACTGTCCTCACAACAGAGTTGTCTTATTCTGAAGTTTATTTTTTCTTTTTCTTTTTCTTTTTTTTATTTTTGTATTTTAGGGAAGGGTCCACAGAGTGTTCAGGGTCTCACTACTAGATCAGACTCTTAGTGATCCACCTGTTTACAGCCTCCCAAGAGCTGGGATTACAGGTGTGCGCCACCATACCCAGTCTCAGTTGCCATCTCAGCATGCCCTGGGGACAGGGCTGGAATGGCAGGCTCAGAGATTGAACCCCTGGCCCCTGAGCCTGCTTGCAGGCGCTTTAATCCGCTGAGCTATGTGGCCAGCCCCTGAAGTTTATTTTCTACAGAACTGCGTACACATGACTCTTCTAATTACTCTGATGCTTACTAGTGATAGTAATGGATGCTTCTTTTTTTGACAGAGCCCAACAGAAACGGGTGTTTGATACTGTCAAGGCTGCCAATGACACACGGGGCCGCTCTGTCCCACTTCCAGCTCTGCTACCTATCCCGGGGTCCAACCATTCGAGTGTCATCATGACAACCAAACTTTTTGAATCTGGTGTACCACAGACAGAGAACAGAACACTGCTGGGCCAGGGGAGTGACTTCAAGGACGTTCCAGAGTAAGAAACACATGACAGGGATTGTACATATCTTAGGGCCTTAGGATGTGAGGGTCACATGCTCAAATTCCAGCATTTCTCTACTGTCCATGAAGGTTCTAAAACTGTCAGTTTTCATTCCCTTTTAGTGCCCTGCATTACTACTTGTAGGATAGATCATTGATTTCATAAAATTTATTGGAATGGAAAGACTTATTAAGGTATTCAAAACAGAACTTACCTTTAATTTCAGAATTCTTTACTACTACAGTGTTTGTAAAATGGAAGTGTAAAGCTTCCTGTTCAATGTACAAATTGTTTTAATTGATTGGATCTTTACCATAAATGCATTGTTGACATTTTTCCTAACCAATATTCATAATCTCCAACACTTTTCAGTGCTTTGGGGCACTGAGCTTTTTTGCCAAGTACAAAATTTCTCTTAAGTTGTTACTTGTTTACATTTAGACTTTTTCCTTTTCATTCATTCAGTTCATTAAATAGAAGTTAATGGAATTATTTCATTCCGTAAAATAGAAGTTATTCTGCCTTACGAGAAAGTCAAAAGCTTTCGAAAGATAGATGTATGCATCTTGGGGAAGTCTTCCTCATGCAGAAACCCATCTGTGAGATCTGACGTATGACCTGGTCTGTCCCATGTGGTGTTCTGAACCCCAGGAGCTTTTGTGTCAGACAGTCCCCTCTGTTTCACAGCTTCATTGAGAGAGGCCCTGAAACAGATATAAGGGAAACACTACCCAGGAGCAGCTACAGTGCTTCCTCCAATGTCAGGTGTAAGACACTCTCCCAATTTTAAAATGTTGAAATGTAAAAATATGTGCACCAGAGAACTATGAGACCGCAGTATTATACAAATATTGTTTTCTTTTAAACTTTCTGCAATGTTTGTAGGGAATTCAGTGACCCAAAGTAATTGTTTTTCAAATTTTAATATTTATAAATGTTTTGCAAAAATAAATAAATAAATTGTTTTGCAATGGATGGCATCCAATAGTTTATTGAGAAGCATTTTCTCTTTTCTCCATGGTGCATAAAATAATGGTACCTTTTTCAGTCAATAATAGATTCAGTGAAATATGAGAATATTTACTTTTATAATCACCTAATCTAAATATATTGATGAGCAGATATGTAGTTTCATAAATTAAATAGAAAAATATTGTTTGTCTGTCTAAATCCGTTTGAAATGATCTTTAAAAATGATTATGGCTATACTCTCAGTACCTGGAAGGAAGTCTAAGGCAGAAGAACATTATGGGCAACATAGTAATTTAGCAAGAACCCATCTCAGAAAAGAAAAAAAAGAAAGAAAGAAATGCAAAGGGATGTAGCTCAGTACAGTGGCCCTGAGTTCAGCCACCAATACTGGAAACAAATAAAAAAAATATAGTATATTGGTGATTGGGTTTGTGGTTTTTCTGTATTCTGGATAGCTAAGAAAATACTTCATTTTTAAGACTGGACATTTGAATGCTCCCCGTGTGGCAGGGAGGGTCTGGAGTGTACTCCTGAGCCTTGGGTCTCATCAGTGCATGTGATTCTCCCGCAGCAGTTGTCAGCCCTCAAGCCAGCCAGGGCCCTCTGCAGATAGTGACTTGGCAGTGGCCCTGCATCGTCTCAGCCTGCGTCGGCAGAACTACTTCAGTGAGAAGCAGTTCTTTGCTGAAGAATGGGAGCGGAAGATCCAAGTTCTGGCTGACCAGAAAGGAGGTGCTAGTGGTTGCAACAGCCCCCCAGAGAGCCTGGACACCCTGTCCACTGACCAGTCGGAGAGCACAGAGCTTGGCAGTGCCAGTTGCCTTCGAGGGTTTATGCCAGAAAAGTTACAAATCGTCAAGCCCCTTGAAGGTAATAAGTCATTAAGGACCCTTCCCAAGCCATGCAGCTTACTGGACTTTCCCCAAAATTGAGATTCATATTGTGAATCTACCTATAGGGGAATCTGTCTGTAGATCCCTTGTTATCCTTACGTCTCCGTGTTTGGGTGGCCTTGGCTTGGAAACTTTATGAATGAAGAGTCAGCGTTCTCTTAAGTCCTTAGCCACCACCAGTTCTTTGACATTTCTAACATAAATGTGAGAAGGGAAGAGGAGTCTTTCCTGTCCTTTGCTAAGGAATATCATTGATAATACTTTCCATGGTAAGATAAGTGGAACATGATAAATAAGAATGATGTAATTTCATATTCACCTTCCTTTTTTAAAAAAGGAACTCTTAACCTGGCGTTTGCTCACTTTCCTCATCACTAAAATATAGTATCTGACACCTACAATTTAAGGGAGGAGGTTTGTTTTAGTTTGGTTTTAGAAGTCGTGGCCCTTGCATGGCTGGTCAGCTCCAAGGCAGGAAGGGGATGAGGGAAAGGTCTAAAGGAGGAAAGCTGCTCAAGTCGTGCCTCCCAGGAAACAGAAAGAAGACAGGAGCCAGGGAAGGAGCTGCACCCGTCTGGGTCACACCCCTAACAACACTCAGCTGCTTCGTTCATGAGTGGGCAAATGCAGTGAGCAGTAGTATAGTGCCCACCACGGCCAAGCTACCTTCCAAAAGCTGCACATCTGACCACATGAAGATTTGGGGGAATATTCTGGATCTAAACTGCAGTACTCAAGACATATAACTGACATAGAGAGATGTCTGCCTGTATTTTTCTTTTTTCAGTTCAGTTTCTGTTCTAAGGATAGAACTTGAAATTGCCATACATTTCTTTGTTTTATAGGAAAGTGACACTCTTTAAGTCTTCCTCTTGACATTGTCATAAACCAGTTCTGCATTAAACAAAATTTTGAGTAGGTGACCTAGAAGGACCTCACAATTTTTAGGATAAAGTGACCAAGATGACATAATTCATTGTTCTGTCTGAAACAAATGCTCATTCCCCAAGTCCGTCAGACTGAAACCAAGAAATGTGTCCTCACTATCATCTCTATTTCCTGTTTTCCCTGGAAGCCCAGAGGAATAAGAATGTTGGCCAGGGTGGGGACCTACACGGACACACTACTGAAAATCCAAATTATCTTCCAACTTAGGACCCTGGCTTTTGACTTCCAAGTTAATAAGCCTGTTTCCAGGCAAGGCAAATACTGATTTTTATCACCTGGGAAAACATCCCCCCCTCTGAGGTACACACTGTCACGGTCTCAGCATCCTGTTTCTAGGAAGAGTGTCGTCTTGGTTGTTTCACCCCTTTCTTAGATGCCCTTTTTAAAATTACTTTTCAGGGGGGCCGGGGAGATGGCTCAGTAGAATAAGTGCTTCCCTGGCAAGCGTAAGGGCCTGAGTTCAATCCCTGCTTCTGCAAAAAATAAATAAATAAATAAATAAATAAATGAAATTACTTTTCAGGCTAGGATATGGCTCAGTGGCATAACACCTGCCTGGCAAGCACGAGGTCCTGACTTTGATCTCTGGGACTAAAACAAAAAGTTACTTTTGGAAGAGAAAAATTATTCTTATCTTGATCTTACCAGTTTTCCACAGAAAACTTTCAATGTGCAAATCATAACAAAATACCTCTTTTTATTTCCCTTTGGTTTCCATATTCAGGATCACAAACTCTGTACCACTGGCAGCAGCTTGCTCAACCAAATTTGGGGACCATTCTTGACACACGACCGGGTGTCATTACTAAAGGCTTTACCCAGTTGCCCAAGGATACTGCCATGTATCACATCTCAGATTTAGAGGAGGATGAAGAGGAGGGGATCACTTTTCAGGTTCAGCAGCCTCTTCAGGTGGAGCAGAAACCTGAGGTAGCCAAGCCAATAGCAGGGCACTTCCTGCCACCCATCAGTTCAGCAGATGGACCTGTTACAGGTGAGAAGGGGGTTTCGTCAAATATGGCTTGGAAACTAAAAGCACTTTGCAGATTCACTCAGATTCACTGTGATCAGCTGGCTACCTGTGCTCTAACCTCACTGGAGTGTACTCAGTATTGGATATGTTATTACTATTATTATTGTGCTACAGTTTATCATTTTTGTAATATTAATATTTATTGTTATAGTAATGAGTATCTACAGAATTTTTGACAACCCTAATTCTTTCCACTTCATCTTAGCTAGCCTGCATAAGAGATTTGGCAGAGAGAGATCAGTTTAGTCAGTGGTTCACAAACCTTTTGATCTCAGAATCTTTTTATAATAATCTTTGAGAATTCCAGAGGGCTTATCATTGTAGGTTTTATCTATTGATATGTACTGCACTAGAAATCAAAACTAAGGAATTAGATATTAATGTATTTTAAAATAAATATTTTAATAAACAATAGATAAAATTATGTCATTAAGTGCTATACAAACACAATGTTTTAGGAAAGTAGCTACATTTTTTAGATAGTGAAGAATAGCTTTATTTTATGAGTTTGCAAACCTCCAACTCCAGCTTAGTAGATGATAGCTAGATTGTTCGGTTCTCATTATCAGTCACATCAGTCATTAAGTGTATCGCAATGTTACGATATTTTGGCTGAGCAATGTAGAGAAATTCAGCCTCATACAACATAGCTGGAAGAGAGTCTTTCCAAGTATTTATGGGTATTTGATTTTAGGACACCAAACCTTGCTAAATGGTAATTTCTTAAATATTTGTAGCAATGAAACAATTGAAACCCTGTTAGTGCATTTTCATACTTTGTTACATGAAAATGAGCCAGTATGCCCTTCACTTTGTATCTTTCACTCATGCCTGGTTTGGTAGTATACATTGGTCATTAAGAAAATACTGGTTCACTGAATTAGGCAGATCTTCCAAATGTTCGTGCATTTCATTATATATAATTTGCTAAAATCAAATTAATACCACCATGTATCTCAACATAAAAGTCTTAAGACTAGAAAGCTTTCAAATTCTCAATGATGGGTACAAGTTTTCCAGAACCCTAATTTTCACTTGAAAGCTCAAATTTTGTCACTGGCAAAAAAAGAAAAAGTCAGCTTTTTTTTTAAATAAAGAAACAGGCTCACTTCATTGTTTTTTTGGGTTTTGGGGGGTTTTTTTGTTTTTTTTTGGTGGGAGAACTGGGAACAAACAATCTCACACTTGCCTGGCAGGTGCTGTGCTACTGAGCTAACCCCCAGCCCCTCCTCATTCGTTTTTTAAGAAAACACCAAGTACCCTATTCTGAGTAACTTTTCTGTTGTTTTCTCAAGTTAAAAATGGAGTTCCACCCCGACAGAATTCCCACTTAGGTGCAAGTGTAGGTAATCGCTCTCTGTGCAGTGGGGATGCGCAATGCACACTTCCCTCTTGCTGCGTGGCATAGTGAGACAACTCACGCCCAAGAGTCATGGGCAACTTTTACTGCTTAATGAAGGACATTCCTAGGTAAATCTGGTGTTTTTGCACACCATAAGTATATGACTGACAAATTCAAGGTAATCTGGTTACATCCTTGATTTGTGGTAGAGAGCCAGCACTTTTACCTACTATTATTTTTGTAGACCATACTTGAAAGCCACAGCTGGGTATTTTAGATGACTACATCTGAATCGTTTTGTAGTTTTTACTGTGTTTTTTCAGAGTATGGTTTTCTCATATATAGTTGAATGCCTTTTATTTATAGTTTGAAATTAGGATTCAGCTACATACTGATCAGCTAATACTAGTGTAATCTATGTATATTTCATTTCCATACTTAAGGACTTTTACTACAAAGGCAGTTGATAAATACTGTTTTTTGTCTAGTTTTGGATTTTTTTGGTACTGGAAATTGTACCTACAACCTTGTGTCTACCAGGTAGACTCTTTGCCATTGAGCTGTATCTCCAGCCCAAATGCTGTGTTATTAATAAATAATGATGAGCTTTTTACATTATTAACCTAGTCTTTCAATTCTGTGTTCCACACCCTCAAAATCTATTTCAGTTGCAACCTCAAACCCAGGAAAGTGTCTGTCATGCACGAACTCAACATTCACCTTCACCACCTGTAGAATATTGCATCCCTCTGATATCACTCAGGTTACCCATAGGTAAGAAGGCCTAGGAAATCTGGGGCCTCGCATGAATTTCTTTTTAAAATTACCTTCTATTTCAGTATCCAAAGTTTTAATTAATGTTCTGTAATCATTTGTCTTTAGAGTATCACAGCATATTTTCTCACTCAATCAATATAACTCTTTGAAACAGGTAAGACACACTGAGTGTGTATTTTGTAAAATGAAGACGGAAGCATTAAAGTTGAAGTTACTTATCCAGGAACAGACAGCTAACTGATGTCGCAGCCCAGACTGGTCAGAGCTGGCCAGCCTGCAAGATTTGAGGGAAGTTTTTGTTTCTGATATGGTATGTAAGTTCAGGGGATTCCCAGACGATACAGGAGGACTCAGAACCCTGTGATACTTGTGGCTGCTCCTGTAATAAGGCAAGAGTTCAGGATGGAATTATCCAGAGAGGAAATGACACAGCAGTTTCTGGGGATCCTGCATGCAATTCATTACTTTCATGACACTGATGTGTGTACACATGGAATATTGCCAACCAGGGAAACTGACCCAATCATCAGTGTCCAGAGTTGTTAGAGATTGAGGCTTCAGCCACCAACACAACTGATAATCACCAAGATGAATTTTATAAAATTGGTTCTTGAAGGGTTTTGGGGTTTTTTGTTTTATTTTGTTTTTGTTTTTTTGGCGGAACCAGGGATTGAACTCAGACCCTTGCATTTGCCATGGAAGTGCTTATTCTGCTGAGCTATCTCCCCGGCCCCTTGAAGGGGTTTTAAGACAAGTTAATGCCCTTATATGCAGTATACAGTTGGGAATGGATGGGAAATTTCACAGTGAAGTAGGAAAAGGGAATTTAGACACTGGGCACACATATCAACTGTGCCAGATCAGAGGTTCTTACTTTAATTGCTTTAACCAAAGAGTAAAATTCACCTGAATGAATGTTGTTCTAGAAAGTTTATGTATTACTCTTAAACTTGTATTTTGTTCAGTCTTTAAACATTATGGCATGATATAATGGTATTCTGTATTGAAGTAGAAATTTATTAAATGCTGGTAAACTGGCTAAAGAAGTACCTATTCATTCCATTGCTATTCCCTTCAATACATGATTTCTTATTTCGTTTTTCTTTTTAATGTAGAATAAGAGTAATCTAAATTCTGTCTAAGCTTTTAGCTGATTTCCTGTCTAGCTTTTTAAGCTAATTTCCTAAAAGCACTGATCCAAGTTATGTTCCGTGCATATTAGCATTGTTTGGAACTAGCATTTCTTGAGAAGAATGGAAATTTAATAGACATTTATTGTTTCTCAGTGACATAGAACTTAAAAATTAAGAAATAAAATTCTTCTTAGCATTTTGGGTCTCACTGAGGATGTGTCTCAGTGGTAGAGTTCTTGCCTCCTATGCACAAAGCCTGGGTTCAATTCCCAGCACTACCCAAAACAACAGAAACCCAACAGCATTTTGGATCTCATTACAAAGGATTGTATTAAAAAAAAAAAAAAAAAAAAAAAAACAAACTCAAACCTTTTTCCACACTTTTTCTAGAAAGGACTGGGTAGAAAGCAAAAAAAAGATGTGAGATTTGGGGA